AGAGCACATATTTTATACTGAAATGCAGAAAACCAGCCACATTAACCATTTCTTTCCCACCTGCTAGTTAAGCCCTGCTTCTAACTGCAAGTAGGTCCTGGAAAAAGATTTGTCTAGTGAGACATGCTTGGTCTGTAAGTGCAAGCTGCACTAGTGCATTTAGGAAGAGTCTTAAATCCAACGGGATAATCAGTAGCGGGGATAGAACATCCCTTCATCCCCTCTGGGCTTTTTGGTGATGACAAATATGTGGCTGCTCTGATGGGGATGTGGGTATCACCTGCCTGTGCTGTGGGGAGACCTTCCCGGGGCTGAAGCACACAGAGGTGCTAATGTGCAGGAAAAAAAACGCAGCAGTCACAGGCGGCCTCCTGAGCAGCTTTTCCCTGGTTAGGATGTTTGCATCAGAAGTTACACTAGGTTTACAGTGTTTGCTTTCACTGTGAAATATGTACCTCAAAACTACAAGTGCCTCCTGGATCTTCCCCTCCAAAACGTCTCTTATTCTTTCTTTTTTTTGAATATGAAGGTTTCTGAACACCAGCAGCAAAAAAAAAAAAAAAAAAAAGGCAAAAAAAACCAAACCAAAACAAACAAACAAAAAACGCTGCCATGTCGCTGGTGGGAAGTCAAGGCATTCTCTCGGCCACCGAGATCCTCATCGCAGCTGCCGTCTTCTGCCTGGTCTTCCTGCTCATCCAGTCCTTCAAGCAACACGTGCCCAAGGGGCTGAAGAGCCCCCCGGGACCCAGAGGCCTCCCCATCCTCGGCAGCGTACTGCAGCTGAGGAAGGACCCGCACTTGGTGCTGGCCAAGCTGAGTCAGCAGTACGGAGACGTGATGGAGATCAGCATCGGCACACGGCGCGTGCTGGTGCTGAGCGGGCTTGACACCATCAAGCAAGCACTGGTGAAGCAAGGAGAGGACTTCATGGGGCGCCCCGACCTCCACAGCTTCCAATACATTTCAAATGGCCAGAGCCTGGCCTTCAGCCATGACTCAGGGGATGTGTGGAAAGCCCGCAGAAAGCTGGCCCAGAACGCCCTGAAGACCTTCTCCCTCACCCCCACCTCAACCTCCTCCTCCATCTGCCTCCTGGAGGAGCACGTCTCCAAGGAGGCCGACTACCTGGTCACCAAGTTCCTGCAGGTGATGGAAGAGCAGAAAAGCTTTGACCCTTACCGGTACCTGGTGGTCTCTGTGGCTAATGTCATCTGCGCCATATGCTTTGGCCAACGGTACGACCACAATGACCAAGAGCTGCTCAGCATAGTAAACCTCAATAACGAATTTGGAGAGGTGGCTGCTGCCGGCAACCCTGCTGACTTCATCCCTGTGCTGCAGTATCTTCCCAGCCGTGCCATGGACTCATTTAAGGACATCAACAGGCGATTCGGCTCCTTTGTGCAAAAAATTATCGAGGAGCATTACAGCAGCTTCAATAGGGTGAGAATCCAGAGATTGCTCCGGGCAACCTTTGCTTCTCATACTCCTCGTTCTGTTGCCACCTCTGTCTTTTGTAGTGCTCTCTAGCTGACCGCTCTGCATCTTCCCCCAGGAGCATATCCGGGACATCACGGACTCGCTCATTGAGAACTGCCAGGAGAGCCAGGCGAGGGACACCAGCAGCGTCTCACTGTCCAGCGGGCAGATCATGAATACTGTCAGTGACCTCTTTGGGGCAGGTGAGAATGTGGCTGCTCTTAAAGCCGTGCTGCAGTCCCTGCTGTCCTCAGCTATGCTCGTGATGTGACAGCTGAAGGGCTGCCATCCACCAAGCCCTTCGGCACCCTCACAGCCAGGGAGGTCCCCCAGGCTCAGGATGAGCTTTTGTGAGAGCTGGTGGTTGAGATGAGGGTCATAGCACAGGGTGAAACAGGGATTCAAAGACACCTGGAAGCCCCTTTTGTGGTCCTGGGTATCTGGGGCTGAAGTTGGGCTCCCTAGTGGCTTTTGGGGATAAGGACAACAGCTCCAAGGCAAATGTGAGCTGTGTGTCACTGGCCAAAAAATCTAGAGTGATTTCTTCTATGTCTATGCAGGCTTCGACACCATTACATCTGCTCTCTCCTGGAGCCTCCTGTATCTTGCCTTGTACCCGGACATCCAAAAGAGGATCCAGGAAGAGCTAGGTGAGCTTGCAGGGCCATTTCCTCCAGGGCTGGGATCTCTGCCACAGATTGGTTCCAACCCTCTTCTTCCTCTTGACCACACGCAGACCGCGCCATTGGCCAGGAGAGGAGACCGAGACTCTCCGATCGAAGCTCACTGCCCCATATGGAAGCCTTCATCCTGGAGATGTTCCGGCACTCCTCCTTCCTGCCCTTCACCATCCCGCACAGGTAAGCACTGCTAGGACTTGATATAGGGCATGGAGAATGAAATGCCTCTCCAGAGCTTGCCTGCTGCTGGTCCACCCTAAACCCCTGCATTTACCATCTTGCACCCTCTCTCTTGCAGTACAACGAAAGACACCGTGCTGAACGGCTACCACATTCCCAAGGACCGCTGCGTGTTTATCAGCCAGTGGCAGGCGAATCACGATGAGTGAGTATCCCATTCTCATCCAAAGGGCAGGAGCTCCGGGAGTGTGAAGCTCACACTGGTTTCCTGCCACAACCCGCCTAAAGCTTCAAGCAAGTGCAGTGTGGATTTGCTGCAGCTCCAAGCAGGGACTACCTGGTTCCCCCTTTTGCGTGGAAAAATGTCCCCTCGGAAGGGATGGCGGACATGGCTATGGCTAGTGGGGCCAGTTCTCTTGCATTAGGGATTCAATAGTGTTGTTGTTTTGCAACAATTGCCTTCTGTGAAGGAAATGGGCTCCGGAGCCCAAAGTCCCCGCACTACCACAAAGGCTCTCCTGGAGAGAGCCAGTTGACTCGGAGTCAACGCAGGTAGAGGATCCCCATGGGTTATTTTGGAGCAGCAGGGTTGAGCCTTGCTAGAAAAGTGCAAAGCAACAAAGCGCCAGGTCTGAATCTTACCTATCTGGGAGGCACTGGCCTCCTTTCAGGCTCTATATATTACAGTGAGCTAAGTTCATCCCTGGTATCGGCACAGGCAAACACCAGCCTTGGAATAGGGAAAACCTTGCAGTGCTTCTCCCTGTGGGCAGCTGGATCCGCTGCTGTCTGCGCTACAGAGCAGGGAAGCATCACACTCAGGGTTTCTCCCTTTCCCACTCCAGGAAGCTCTGGAAGGATCCATCCACCTTCAACCCAGAGCGCTTCCTCGGCACTGATGGCAAAGTGGACAGGATGGAGGGCGACAAGGTGCTGATATTTGGCCTGGGGAAGCGGCGCTGCCTTGGCGAGACCATCGGCCGCTGGGAGGTCTTCCTCTTCCTGAGCACCCTGCTGCAGCGGCTCACGTTCAGCCTGTGTGGCCCCGTGGACGCCACACCACATTATGGCTTCACCATGAAGTACAAGAGCTATGACAGCTTCCAGGTCCAGAGGCGCTTCCCGAGCGGAGCGCCATGAGCGCCACCGCCGTGGAGCAGCTCGCAGCGGCGCCACAGCAAGACAGCAGTATTGGCAGAACTGAGGCACTGTTCATAGAACCACAGAATTGTTAAGCTGGGAAGGGACCTCTAGAGATCATCTAGTCCAACCCCCTGCACACGCAGGGTCACCCAGAGCACGTGGCACAGGACTGCATCCAAGTGGGGTTTGAAGATCTCCAGAGAAGGAGACTCCACACCCTCTCTGGGCAGCCTGTTCCAGCGCTCTGTCACCCTCACTGTTAAGAAATTTTTCCTTAAGTTCCTGTGCAACTTTTGATGCTTTAGTTTCTGGCTGTTTCCTCTAGTTCTATCAGGGCCCACCACTGAAAAGAGGCCGGCATCATCCTCCTCACTGCCTCCCTTGAGGTACTTCCAGACACTGATCAGGTCTTCTCTCAGCCTTCTCTTCAGCAGGCTGAACAGGCCCAGCTACCTCAGTCTTTCCTCATAAATTCACTCCCCTCTGAACAAGAGACCTCTGAAGAGTGAGAAAAAGGGATGGGGGCCATTTAATGCTTTGTGTGGTGGGGCACCACTGCTGCTATTTTAAGTCTTTTTTTTGGCACACAAATGGGTTTGTAGAGCAAGACGAATGCGCTGGGGAAGGGTCTGAGGAAGGCAAGGGCTACATGCTCGATATGGAGGGACCGCCGGAGCAGCAGCTCCTGCCCATTCGATGCACTCGGATGCCAGAATGCACCTGTTCTGCCCGGTGTTTCCCACTCAATAAAGGCCACGGGGCCGTTCGCCACTTGGCTCCTGCTGTTTCTGTTCCTCCCGCGACCCGGGCGCGCCGACACCGCC